CCATGAAGGGTTTCAGAGGAACATTCTGCTTCTGGATCGGGGGGGAGGGGGGAAGCTGCATATGGATGGAGGAATGGAGGTGGGAAATGGAAGAATGCACTTAAGTTCGGCAGAAACCGCCCTCAGCATTTGCCCACTTTGCATTTTCCTGTGTTGTTCCTGACTATCCCATATGGCAAGGACACGCAGCATCACTGGACCTCCCTCCCGAGGGCCCTTGGACCACCACATGGTGATGAGGCCATGTCCAGCCCCATTGCAGGTGCCCCCTGGAGGAGGGAGGGGGGGTAGAGCATGGGTGGGGTGGGGTGGCTGGTGAAGCGTGTAGCCTTTGACCCCTGGCAAGCATGAGCAAAGAGGTTCCCACAGGACGGTGACCAGGTCTTAGGGAGACGGAGGGGATAGGGGCAGCCGTTAGGCAGCCCTTGAAGAAAGGAACCTGGCCAGTGTGACAGGCCAGGGCTTGACCTAGGTGGGTGGCCTGGATTGTTCCACCCTTCATGTTTGGCCAGTCCTCTGGGAATATGGAAGCCTCAGATCGCCACCCTTGCAGGAGGAGCTCCAGGGCCAGGGACCGGCAGGGGGTGGCAACCCAGCCCATATACTAAAGAATGCGGGAGCAGAAGCAAGTTGCGGGAAGCCCCAGGCCAACAGCAGTCACACGGGGTAATCCTGCAATTCCAGGTGACAGATTCGATCTGCTTCCCTGTCTTTATCTTTTCTGGGGACAGCTCTCTAAGTGACCATTAAAAAAAAAAAAAAATGAACTCAATTAAGTCTTCCCGGTAGAGCAGCGGCCTTAGAGTCTGCAAAACGTAAAGTGGTAGCAAAAAGGTGGTGTTTATACGGGCGTGGCACGGTTGCCAAGGAAGCCAGATCTTGCGTGTTGCGGAACAGAGAGCAAGGAAGGGGGGATGGGACCCTATTCTGTTGGCCCCAGCCAGCACCCTTTTGTCCGGACTCAGCTGTTTTTCTAATCGCGTCTAAATCAGAAAAAAAGACTCCTCGGCTGTCCAGACCCGAGAGACTGCTTTCAGGCCTGAGAAATCGGCCCTGCGGCAGCCGCCGAGCGCAGTCTACCACAGACACATCCTCGCAGGTGCTGCGCCCTGCTGGGCAGGTCACGGAGCAAATCACAGCGTTCTTCTACCGCCAGGGGAGAGACTCTGCAAATAGCCGTGGGGTGGGGGGGTGGGGGTGGGACGGGACGAACAGCCCGGCACCGAGCGGGAACAAAGATAGCCAACGGGGTTCTCCATTCTCTGCAGTCAGGTAAGTATAATGAACAACAGAAAGATGTAAAAGAAAAAAGACCAAGGCAACAAGGAATAAACGGACATTTGTCTTTCGGGTTTTTCAGAAGACAAAGAGATAAAACCCCATGTTCTATCAAGGTAGAATCCGAAACTATAATTTTTACTGGTGAGTCTTGGGGAAAAAAGCCCATGAATTCAAGGATTCATAAAATGATAAAGGTATTCATTCAGGCTAAGAAACTAAGGTACAAAAAGGAGTGACTGAAAGACATCTGATCTCTCTCAGGACTCAGGGACAACCATGATTTTTCAGAGAAACATTTGTGTTTTTACGTGACAGACACTCTAAGTTACATTAATGTAATTGATCGTGCTTCCCTCTTTGAACTGGCTGCTAGGAAGCTCAGAACCACATTTGTGTTCCATGTTGTGGTGTGTTACTTTCAGGACTAACAATATCCTCCATGCAGAGTCATTGAGAGGAACAGAAATAGTAACCAAGAAGGGAGGGGACTTCATTCAAGATAGCTGTTATTGTTGTTGTTGACCAAAATTTTAAGAAGAAATTTTTCCTGATGGATTTATTACCTGCAGAAGGTAAAATGGCTTTATGTTCATGTCATTGAAATGTGGGGAGGAGTCATTGTAAAGTTTCTAATGAACCAGGCATGATCAATGAAGATTCGCTCTGTAACACCCCTCATTAGTAATTAAAGCAGGGCAAGATAACATTGATAGTCCCGATATTTAATGGGTCAACACTAAATTATTCAGAATCTTATTTTTTTCACGTCCTATTGATCTTCCTTCTGGTTTCTTTCTTTAAAAAAAAAAACCACTTTCTGCTTCAAATATTTAAAAAATCACCCCAGATTTCCCTCTTGAAATAATTATATATTTTTAAAAAGCTTTTCAAATAATCATCAATTGCTAGGCATTCTTCCTTTCTGTTCTGGTGGCTTCTCCCCAACTTCTTAAGCCATACAGTTAACTGGGTAGCCCCTGTTAACTCCCTGACTGAGTTCTGATTCACACAAACGTATGTATGTGTACTGTGTAATTACAAAAGTAATGTAACATGGTGTATAATATGGTGTGTAATCAGCATGTGGCTGGCTCTCAGAAGACACAGAGGCTGGCAGGCTTCCTGCAGAAGAGCAGGTACCTGGACACCCAGTGCAGAGGGGAGGGGTGTTGGGAGGTTGGGGATGAGGTCCCATCAGATTTGTCACTGGACTTTTTGAGTGGGCCGCCCCCAGCTAGCCAGAACGTTTGTCCTCCTTCTCCTCTCACCTCCTCTTCTTTGTGACCTAAGTTTCAGGGACCTTGCGTGCCTCATTCTGCAGCCTCTGTATCACATTTGTCTTGTGACCGTGGCCTCCTGGTCCACATTGCAGTATGGTGCTAGATCTTAGGACCAAAGCGGACTCGAGGCAGGAATTTTCTAGCCACACTGCTGCTTCTGGATGAGACCTAAGGGGCCGCTTGCTAGCGGGGTCTGGGCAGGAGTGGATTAACAGTGCAGTTAGAGAAGCTTAAGCATCAGGGCTTCTCACTCTCATGCATTTCTTCTAAGTCCCTATACCTAATTTTATATTCATAATTACATATTCTTTTCTTAAAGAGAGACCCCTCCAAATTTTATAATTGTCAGAGTCCCATGAAACTGGTATCTGCCTCTTATTCTGGGGTTATATTTTTTGTTCCCTAATAAAAGTAGGAGACATACAAGAAGAAGCTACACCCTTTCTTTTCTGCTTTGCGATGACCTGAAGGGATGTGATGCTTGGGGCTGCAGCAGCCATCTTGTGACCCTGAAGAGAAAGCCAGAAGAACTGCAGAAGAGCTAACTCGGAGCCTTGGTATGATTGATGTGATTGAGCTACTGGATGAACCAACCCTGGAACTGTCTATCTCGACTTCCAGTTACATGAGGTAAAAGTCTTTATTATTTAAGGCACATGTATTCAAGTTGTGTATGACTTATAACCAAGAGCATCTTGCTGATACCCCCCTGGTCCCCCACCACTGTGTTTTAGTGACTCACTGGAGCAATGTATATCTCCTTGCTGAATGTGCTACTGCCAAGATTCTTACCTTCCAGAAAGTACTCAGAGCTAGAGCAGCTTTCCTGGTGCCCATCCTACCCTACTGGAGGGTTCGGAGCCTCTCCCACTGGAATGGAGATGGCCTCTCATTAGTTGTGCAGTGTCTCTGGCTTTGTCACTCTTCCCACCTAAGACTACTTTCCCATAAATTACTCCAAATCACTTCAATCGCCCTCCCCACCATGAACCAGCCTCTCAGTGCACTTGATTTCAGCTAAATATGAGAAAGGAAAGAGTAGATGCTCATAATCATGCTAAGAAATGAGTGACAGGTAACTAGACTGGCCCTCTTCATCTCTTTGCTTTGAAAAAGTCAAAGTCATTCCACCAGAATTTCCTAAACTGAGAAAGTTTCAAAACGTCAGCCCCTTTGAACGACTTGGGAAAGTTGGCTTTATGGAAATAGTCGTATAGACACCTACCCAGGTGACGCAATTGCCTGCTCGTGTGTTCAATGCAAAGCTGTGAGCAAATCACTGTACATGAAAATTCTGTGAGCCTGGAATAATCTCACTCCAGGCAAACATCGAACAGTGTGCTAAAGTGAAGAGAGAAGAATGAGGAGGCAGAGGGACCTTCTTGGAAACTTGCAATCACATGGTGTGGAAGCCAAAGTCTGCTGATTCAATGGGCCCCACTTGGCCTCAGGACTGTGTAGACTGACAGCTCAGACTGGGTCTGTTCTGTTTCCTTGGTGACCAGATGCTTCTCTTTGAGAGCACACAGGAATGACTCAGTTCTCCTCAGTGACCAAATTTCATGTCAAGGAACACTCATTTTTCCACACTTAGGTTCCTAGACTTCCTTCCGCCCATTTGCCTGATCCATATTTCTGCTGATCACCACCTGCACTCTCTCTGGCAGATAAATGCTAGTCCTAGGCCTTAGACTTCATTGGCATCAACCAACGACCCCCATGTGCCAACACCTGCCATTCTCTTTCACCCTGAAGGCTGGTCTCTTTGCAAGCCATCTTCAAACTCATGTCTATGATAAAGCCCGCCCTCTCCGTCAACTGATTCTAGATCGGCCTTGACCACAGTTCCCCTGAAGGCCAGGGCCCTCCCACACTGGCCCGTGATCAGAAGTTGATCCAAGAGCCTGGTGAGCTTGCAGTCAAGGCAGGCGGGCAGGAGCTGCTGAAGTCATTCGTGTGTGAGGCAATGAGGGTTTGGATCCCTAACACAAGATAATCTCCTCTGCAAAATCAAGTTGGCTAACTGGGGAATGGGGTTGGCTGGAGTTGTGTTTGCCAAACATTTCTCTTAAAGGTGAAAGCAAAGCTGAGCCTCTCCCTGATTTTCACTGCCCTGAAGCGATTGCTTTGGTTCACAGTAATTGTTGCACTTTAAACTGAATAGGTTACATTGTAAGCCTGGGTAATTGAGTTAAGGGCAGTTTGTTAATATATCGAGTCTGGAGCCACTAAGTCTAAACTGTGACTCTGGGTCCACGTCTATGGTGTGTGTCTACAAAGCCACCTGACCAAGTCTTTGGCGTCTCTAAAGGTGGAAGTGAGGCCATGAAGGACACTTAAGTGAAAACAAAATCCTTTAAGTGCAAAAGCAGAGTAATTATTTACCTTTGGGTGTTTGATAGAATTTGTATAATGAACACGTCATAATTCTATAATTACCTCAGTTATGAACCATCCTTCATCAGCCACTAGGGTCAAAGGAGAGACAAATTTCCCTTTCTTGTAATAGAACCTGCTTGGTATGGCTTCTTTCTCGTAGATGGTCATGTGTTCCACTGTTCTCAGTTTGTTATATATCTGCAAAGACAAAAGAGTCACCAGTTTGGCATTCTCTTTCTTAACTATGTGTGAACATTTATTGCACCTAGAGGAGAGGGAGAACTTTATGGACCAAAGAAAGAAATGACCAAAACACCTGCCAGGTTTGACTACATAAGAATGAGAAACTTTTGTATGTCTCAGAAAACAAGGTGGCTTCATCTCGTAAGGCTGAAGATCCACACACCCCGTGATCTAATAAGGTAGCCCCTAGGGACCTAGCGGGAACCCTTCCCACTCGTGCACCGGGAGACACATAGAGGGATAGAGACTGCAGACTCAACAGCCCAAATGCCCAGCAACAGTGGAAGGACTGTTGCTTGCAGAACACCTGCAAGCATTGCAGGGTCTCAGCTTGAGAAGCAAAATAAAGCAAGTTGCAGAAGAATACAGACAGGGTTATTATTATTATTATTATGCGAAGTTCAAATAACTATAAAACTAAAGAACACACATGATAAAACGATAAAGGCAATTATGGAAATGATAACTTATAATTTAAGAGAGTAGCTTCCTTTGATGGGGCAGGAAAGGTGGTGGGGTTTGGGAAGGATATACAAGAGATACCGTTGTCAACGGTAATGTCCTACTTCTTAGATGTTTAGTAAATATAAGGCACCCCTTTATACTTTTCAATATTTTATAATAATTTGTCTACTCAGTAGTTAATAAATTACAAAAGCTTATATACGTCAAAAATGCTATAGGAAAATTAAAAGGCAAATGAGGAATTGGTCCACCTGCTGTTAAATGCCACAAGATCAAAGGGAGAGGATTTGCTCTTGACCTAGAGCATGTCTTTCCTACACCTGAATCTTAAAAGTATTAGTAATTGTCTGCCGTTCATTACACTACTAATTTCATGATGAGGGTGTAAACTCTGTACATATTTCCAATATTTAGCAGCAGCTTAAATATTTATGGCTGACATTAAAATCAACTGGCTGATGTTGACTTGTTGGCCCTCAGGCAAATCAGACACATATTCCTGGGTAGAACTGAATGTAAAATTGAGTTTTTCAACTCAGATCTGGAGAATAATTAGCCTTCAGGCTTTTTAGTAGAGAGTTTCTGATGACCCCACGAGTTATGATTTCCTACTTGAGAAAATCCATAGTTCTTAAGGAAAGTAGGATGCGTTTGCAGGAAGATTTTGGATACGTGAAAAATCTGATGACACATACCAGGTCTCACAAACTGTTGTGTCCGTCACATGACGAACTGTCACCCAAACACAGCCCCCATTCTTGAATAATCCACCAACTGCTTCTGGCTTTCATGAACGTCGTGCTGGAAGAAGCTCTTCCCAGCTCGTAAGCTGCTGATGCTCAAGCATTCTGGAGGCAGCACGTCCCTGAGCGCCAAGTTGGAAATGCAGATTATCTTCCTTGCCAAGAAAACAGAACTTCTTTGCAAGAAGCCACTTTCTGTGGGACCTGCCAATGTGTAGAGTATTCCTCCCGGCTTCATATTAAGGGATTTCATGGGGCTGCTGTACCAATGGTCAGCACCTCCACATCCTGACCATGGAACTTGAGAAAAAGGGACGTCCACCTAGGAAATGGGACAAGGCTGGGGAGGAGTGGCGTTCTTGGCAACTGTGCTGCTCAACCCCCAGACAGATCTCAGACTTTCCTATGGTAGTGGGCAAGAGGAGGTCAAAAGGGCCAGTGGAGAGACCCCGGCCTCCTGCACGCAGTGTCCATCCATACCAAAGAGCGTCCGTTGTCAACCACATCCTTGCTGTGAGGATAAGTGGAGGTGTCAGGCCCTCCCTAGGCCAATTCCTGGGACCCTGGGGTTGGCACCTCCATGGGCAGCAGTCTCTCTCTGAAGAGACCCGCTACCTGGTCCAGAGCACGAAATTGTCTCTGGGAGCGGGCAGAAGACCCAGAGCTTGCCCTGGCATGTGACGAGGCAACATGGGGCGAAGCAGGTGGACAAAGATGCTGCTTGTTCCTCATTTTCCCATCATGATTTACCAAGTACTGCAGATAATTATGGTTTGGAGAGAAGGGTAAGTAAAGTCTAGCTATCTCAGAGTGCTCAGTTCCTGGAGGGCAGTGACTGTGGGGAGCACCCTCTTGGGAACCACCCCTGTGATGATGATCATTATAATAAGTGGCACATACATCGTCCTTGAGGTGGGCCCAGCATGCTTCTGTGGGTTTACCAGCAGCCCAGGAGGGCAGCTATGATGGCATCGCCAACCGCATGGACTCAGAAGAAGCAGAGGGTCCGGGACAGGGAGCTATGGGTTACCAGTCCATGATCAGGCTGGGATTTGCACCTAAGCAGCGTGCCTCCTCAGATAAGGAGCTGACGCATGGCACCCACGGCCTCAGCCCCTATTCATTCATCACCTTCTTATCTCCAGTTCCCTTACGAAAACAGATCAGATGGGCAGCTTTGTTCCAGGGAAAGAGCATTCTCTGTATGCATCCGATATCCCCCAGGTTTGCCTGAGAAGTGCCGCATTTGGGCCAACAATAAAATAGCCCTACTAAAGGGCTAAGAGCTTAACATGCTAAGCACAGCACATCATTTATCTCATTTGATTTCCACTAACATCCGTGCAGTGGATACCATCATGCCCATTTTAGAGAAGAGCAGACAGACACAGGAGGATGAGCAACTTGGCAGAGGTCAAGGGAGCAGCAAAGTAGGTCACATGCCTCGGAAGGCCCAGCTCCGGCACAGCTCTCTACTTCAGTGCTAAAGCCCCAGGGCAAAGACCAAGCTCAGAGCGATCATCCATCCGCCTCCCCCCCTCATGGCGCTTCTTGCCTCAGAGTGTTTCCCAGGGGCTGGCCAGAGGCTCACGACAGGTCCTCGGTCCTTCACTTGCTGCAGGTCGTTCAGGCTGATGTACTTATTCAGCTCAATCACTTTGTCCATCCAGAAAATGTCAGTCATTCCATGATCTGAGAAGATGATGACATTGAGGTGGTCCTGCAGCTCCCGCTCCTGTAGGTGGACAAAAGCCGTCAGGTCAGCTCCCAGGCAGAGATGCGCTCACTCTGGAAGGTCTTGTAAACAAGTGTTTTAAACTGTAAGTTATGGGGGAAAGGATACTTCCTCAATCATAAACTTTTCTGCCCTGATGGGACCAGTGGGACATCACCACAGAAGCACTTCGAGGAGGGCGAGGTGAAAGCACATCCCCTCTCCAGCAGTGCTAGAAATCATCCCTCCTGGGCTTGAGCCATTCAAGCTACTTTCTCTGTTCTCATTTCCTTCCGCTCTTTCAGCAGACGTGTGTGGTAAGACGGGAGCGGTCACCGACCCATTCTACAAACGTGGAAAATAAAGCCCACAAAAGTTTTACTTTGTTGAGAGTCATCCAGCAAGGGGGTGGGTTGCAGGATCAGGGAGAGAACCCAGGTCTGGTCTCCATGCCCGCTTGAACCTGGTTCACAGACTTACTAGGTTTGGTAAAGAACTGGGCCATCTGGCCAGCTAAGCCAGGTAAGAATGCGAATCTGGTCATTTCAGTCCCGCTGGGCTGGTTGTAAAACAAGGGAGCTCCTGGTATCTGACAAGGGGTTGTGGGAAGAAAAGAGACCCACCCCAGCCTGGTGCTGACCTCGTCCGCTAACACCAGTAAGAAGGAAAATGTTGAAGGGTTATGACAACCAAGGAAACTGACAGGAAGTGACAAGAGGGAAGATCAGCGTCATGGTCCTTGGTTTCAGTTACCTGGATCCACTTGGTCATGTACTTCAGGACGGTGTCCACGGCTTTCAGGGCGTCTTTCCGCTGAGGCGACGAAGGGCCATAGTGGTGGCCTTCCACATCGATGCGCTCATGGTATATGGCTGCCACGTCTGCCCGGCCACTCCTGGAAGGAGCAGAGTGAGAGAGACGCAGTTGAGGGAGGCCCTCACTGCTTTCTCCCCCCTCCACTCAGCAGTCCTCTGTGAAGGCACTGACGTCCCCAGATCCCTGACCTGTGGGCCAGGCAAAACTGACACCTTAAAATGATCACGGTGATCTCTAAGGGAGGAAACACGACTACGGCATCAAGACATGCCAGTCCTGAGCACCTCAGTGCAACAGTCAGAGAGCACGTTTATGGGGCATCTCCCCTCCAGGCTCATATGACATCGCTCGTTGTGCCCCAGGAGTTGGAAGGGCTGGAACAGGCAGAGGACAGTTCTCATAGCTCTACTCTACCACCCGCTGCTGTCATAAGATCAGAACAACTAGAAGCAATCATTCAAATAATGACTTCGATTATTGCTGGACCTAAAGGAAGTGTCTAAATAAAACAGCAGACTGTGTGTTTAACCCACTGGCAAGAAGAAGAGCAAGCTTTACCAGGGCAACCTGGGGGAGGCAAACAGGTTAGTGTTCAGCAGACACTTATTCTAATGGGGACATTTATTCTATGAAGGGCCAGCTCCAGTGTGGATATAGAGTGAATTCTAACAGTGACCACACTTCCCTGGGTCCCAGGAAGACGCTGGTTCTGGAGAAACTCTCCTTGGCCAGAGTACTGATAATACTGATGATGGCAGAGTACTAATAATCCAAGCCCTTGATGCTGGGCTAAGAATGACCAGGAACAAGTGATCTCCATTGGAGTAGGAGGCCTGCGGAGTCAGGGAAGGGAGAAAAAAAATGCCGTGTAATGCACCTCCTTCCTTCACGCAGTGCTCTCCACCGTCCCTCCTGCCCCAGCTCAAGCTTTGCCCACGACTCCTCCCAAAGCACCCGAGCTGAACAATGATCATGATGATGACGATGTTAATGGTGGGAGCCGTTATAGTAACTGACAAAAGTTGAAGTAATGCAAAAGAAATTACAGCTCATTCCTTTGCTTGGACTTTACAAGAGCTAATAGTTGATACTCTTGGTGGATTGCCTTATTTCTCTCGAAAAACTATATTTTAAAGACACACACACACAAATGAGATGGCATGGTGTCTTCTGATGTGGCTGCCCCAACACCTGGAACATGAGCAATAAAAGAATGTGAGTCCTCAGAGCCTGCTCTGCCTTGGGTCTTGCAATCCACAGAGGAGGGAAAATTGCCTCCCGGTAGTTCAGAGAGGGTGGTTTGCACGGCCAGAGTTAAAAACAGCTCCTACTCATCCTCCAGGTCTCAGGGGAGATGGTGGCCCTTCCAGGAAGTTGGCTCTGATGCCCCAGGCTCTGCTGGGCGGCCCTCCGGGTGCTCCTGCGGGCCCTCTAGGCTCATCTCCTGGTAATGCTCTTCCATGCCGGGCTGCAGTGGCCTGCTGATGTTCCTTCGCCCTCTCTAAGCTGTGAATTCTTTGGGGGGGATGGCGATTCATCCTCCACTGTAGCTCAGTTGTAGCCTACTGTATTTGGCATACAGTTGGAGCTTTATAACAGTTGAAAGTATACTAATAGTAAGCTCTCAATAAATGACAGTTGCTCTGGGTCAGGCACTATGTCGAAGGCTTTTCATTCATTATTTAATCCTCACAGCAACCCTTTAAGACAGGGATACGTTGAACAGAGAGCTCAGTAGAGTTGCCTGCCTCACACAGCCAGTGAGAGATGGGACCAGGACTCAAACCCACATTGGGCTGACTCCAAAACCCTGACGACAACCACTAAAAACTCTACGGCCCACACCAATGGGGCAGCATTCTGCTTAACCTTCTTATGGAAATGGTCCTTATTCTCTTATAAGACTCTTACCCTTCTTGACGGATAGCGCTCCATGTCTGTGGGTTGGGTGTGTCTTGGATTTCTGGAACTACTGTGGGAAGCGTCCCTATAGAAAAGCCTCTGCACATTTTGCAGATGGGGAAATAGGCCAGAACGGATTCTAGGACTTGCTCAAGGTCTCACAGAGACGTAGCTAGAACTGGAAACGTGAATCTCCAAGATCAGAACATTCTACCAGCCTGGGCTTTTGAAAGTCCGCATCTACTACATTCACTACACTGGGGCGGTTTTCAGGGGATAATCTGATTAGCATCTTCCTTCATTAGGGTCATACTTGCCAAGACGGCACGTCCTTTAATGATGCTGTGATGTTCTACTGTGTACCCTGAGGGGCATTTCATTTATGTTTTTGAGAGCACATTGGTTTTCAAGTTAAGTGAAATTGCTAGTCAAGTGTTTTCTCTTTTTAGAACACAACAAACCGGCCCTTCTTTAACAAATACCACCCTTCTCCACAATGGGGACTGGGTTAGGTGTTTTTCAAAAGTGTTATTATCATTATTCATACTCACTAATGTGTGAATGACTCATCCATCTATAGACAGCAGAGAACAAAAAGTCACTGCAGGGGCCTGCAAGGGTGTGGGCGGTGGGGAAAAGTTCTCGCTAGGTAATGGCACTTTCATACACATCCCTAAACTTTTGTGAGGCCCGTGTTCATTACACTGATGAATACAGTGGAACCTTCCATAAAATCTTTCCCTCAGATGAGCCTCAGCCTTTAGCTGCTTTATGCAGTTGAATCTGTAGCTCCCCAGATGTGCGGATTCATGCAGTGTATCCAGTGTTCAAGTGTGCACACTTCCAGGGTGGGGCCTGCATGGGGGGAAAATTGCACAAACAGGCTGACCGTTGCATTAAAGTTCAATGACATGCTTTTAAGTCACTGCATTGTAGATACTTCCCTTAACGCAGCAACCACTTGGCTGGTTTCTTTCAGGCTCTGCACCATATCTAAAAATCTCTGTGTGATCAGGGACCCAGTATCACAGATTTACCTGATGGCTTTCTTTGAAGGAGCTGTCAACCCCAGGTGCCAGGAACACTGGATTTGGGATGCTGGCGATTCAGGGATTTATGCACGTGACTTTGGAAAAGACTTCTAGGTTGGAGTTTCGTCGATTCATTAGGGACCCAAGTCTTCAAGGGCTGAGCACTCTCGCCTGTTTGGAATTCAGCGGACAGATTCTTGGTCGCCAGGTGTTTTCCACATGGATCTGGTCTCCATCACAGGTCAGCTCATTTGTAATGGAGTGGTTGGGTGAGGAGCGATGGGTGGAAATGCCTGCAGACCTATGGTTGGCCATTTATAATTTATAGCTTTAGGGGTCCAGGAACTGAGCCAAAGACATGTGGCTGTCAGCCCAGCACTTGAGAGCTGCAAGGAGCCCCCAGCCCCAGGCTTTCAGGGACACCCAGGTCCTCCAACATCTTAGGATGTTGTCCAGATCTCTTTTCAGTGTAAAAGTTCATAACCTCACATCCATTTCCTTACCAAAGTGAGTTGGAAAGAGAAGACTTAGGGAGAGAGAAATGGGGGGCAATTCGAAGGGATGGTTGAAGTTATCAACTGTTAAGAAAAATGATCTAAAACTTAGAAATTAGGCCCCCAAAACAGCTGCCTGTCATTCCTGTGTCCTACAAGAACAGTGTCTGATAAACTTGTTTACAGGTCACCAGACTTTATGACCAACTTGAGCCCGGAATGTGTAAACTTAGCTGTCAACTTGTAGGAAACCAGTAAGATGAAGGTTATTTTTGCCTGATGGAGAAAGCAGTCCCAAAGATCACGGTCTGATTGTCCTCTAAGTCGTGAAGCATTTCTGCATCTCACAATAATCGTATGCCATCGTCCTCCATCATTCTTTTCCTTCACGTGTGTGTTTCTCATATTCTCTGTTTAACCAGCCTGGTCGTGCCTGGATTCCCTCAGCAATAAAGGAATTTGAACCTCAGCATAATTCTCATATACATATGTAGTGAGCACATGACAGAGGCTTAATTTTGGAAAATTATACATTGATAGGGTATTGGAATTAGACAAATCTGAGCTCAAAGACGTGAACCTTGCTACCCTGGAGGTCTCAGAAGAACAGCAAAAATATCTGGAGGCCTCAATGTACCATGTGAAAAACCTCCACAGAGGGTACACTGGGTAGGAAATGAGCTGATGTTTATAAAGTGCTTGACACACAGCAAAAGGGAGGCAAAGGGAAGGAGATGCCTTGCGTCTCTCTCTTCCTTCCAGATGTGCCTGGATGGCTTTTGCCTGTGTGCTGAGCCCCTTCCCTCAGAGTCCGGGGGGAGGAGAGACAAAGGCCAGGACATTTGCCCCAGCTGCCCCATGGTCTGTGGAAAGAACCATCTCGTCATCCATCCACTCCTTTATAGGCACCAGCAGCCACTGAGGTTCCGGGATCCTAAAAGAATTCCTTTGGAGCTGTTTTCCGTAACCTGGAGCTTGACAATAGACAGCAGCTGTGGCCACCGCTCCCGGGGCCCAGTTGTTGTTTGACCAACCCTTTTGAGAGGCTTCATCAGGCACCTGCACCTGGGAGCAGCCTCCTAGTCCCTCCAGGCGGTCAGGGCTGCACGGGGCTGTCACCACCGGATGCCCCTTTTCCTGCCCACCGAAGCATGACTATCCGACAAACAGAACTTCCAGGAGGACAGATTAAGTGATGTGCTCACAAACTGCTTTCTGTGGTGGCTGTGTGGGCAGGGGTGTTGCTTCCCTGTCCCCGTGTGCGGGGGCATGGTACATAGCGCGCCCATGACTGGGGCTGTGTGCTGCTGCACACGTCGAGCAGCGAGCAGACCAGAAAGGCTGCCAGTCCATCTCGGGCGCTCATGAGCCCCAGGCCCAGCACAGCCCCACAGGGGTGACTTGCGAAGGAGCCAACCCCTCCGCCCCATCCTGTTGGTCTGACTCGGTTTCAGGGCACCTCAGAGGTATGGGTGCAGACCAGGAGGAGAGCTGTGAACTTGACTCTGAAGTGTCCAGGCACTTCTCTCTCAGACCTGGGCTCTGGCTCCACCACCTACTAGCTGTGTGCGACCTGAAGCAAGGTGCTTAACTTTGGGACAGGAGGAGGACTCTTTGTAAGAGGAGGAGGATGACACACCCCACAGCAGAATGGGTCAATGGCGATAGGGCCTTTGACACAATGCTGGCAGGTGTGTGTTGAAGACATGAATTCTCTTCGCCCTCTCCTTTCTTCTACGCTGGAGGTTGTCTAGGTGCCGAGGTAGCGTCTGCCATGGATATGACTTGGGTCAATAAAGCTTTATGAGCCCTGGATGGCAACGCCCAGATCAAACATGGAAATTGGACTAGCCCTTCTACAGAACCATGCAGCTTCTTGGCTGAGCCGGACCCTTTGCCGAAATGTTGTCCATAGGTCAATCTTAACTGCCTTCTTTCAAAAGCATATCTATCCTGTATCCCATTCTCTCTGCCTCTCAGAATAATAGCAGAGTGGAAAAGACACTCTATAAGCAGTACTGATCAGGAGAAATGCCTGTGTGTGCCCACATGCATATGCATGCCTATGTTCGCACACTTGTGTGAACTCTAAGCACTCCTCAAATTATAGCTAGGAATTTGAGATAGAGCTGAGCAGAAACCAAGAGGTAAGCTATGGAGTCTAAAACTTGCTCCTTGTTTTGGGGCTATCTGATGGAAAGATAAATAATTAATACATCTTTGCCTAAGCATACACACCAAGAGAATTCATAATTCCTTTGAGTCACATTCTTACATGAATAAGCTGCTACATGTAAAGTGGTCTTAACTGTGTTGGCCCACAAATGTCAATCCTTTATTCTACTTTGTAAGAAGGTAAGGAGACATGTTCTAAAAATGCATAGGTTAGGGGCGTTTGGGTGGCTCAGTTGGCTAAGGGTCCAACTCTTGGTTTCGGCTCAGGTCATGATCTCAGGGAGGTGAGATCGAGCTCCGCATCGGGCTCTGCGTTGGGTGTGGAACCCGCTTAAGATTCTCTTTCTCCTTCCCCCCCTACTTCTCCCTGCCCCCACTCTAAATCAATCAATCAATCTATCTATCTATCTGTATAGGTTGTTTATAGAAGGTGCCTTCTTTTTCTTTGCAAGAGAGCCTAAATTATCTTACTGCTTTCCACAGGCAATCAGTATCATCTGGCCTATTGCTTTTCTTCTCTTTTTTCTCTCTGTCTCATTTCAAGCCCTAACTAGTTTTAGAAATGGTGGATCTCCATCTTTCCAACTACTATTCACAGGGGATGTTTCTGGTGGCCCTGTTAACTTTGACAGTATGAAGACCCCACAAGACAATTGCACTGGCCTGGTTCCAGCCTTCCTAGGCCTTCACTCCCCAACTGCAGAAGCATCATTCACTGGTAGATTATGTGAATGTCATCCCCTGGGAGTTCAAGGCCATTTATGTAGACTATAGTATGAATGGTGCCAATTGAACAATATGGTGGTATCAGGTCACACCAGATAGAGGCCTAGCCTGAGGCCACTTACCTGGGCCTCCAGTTCTTGGTAGCCTTTTCTGTCTAGGGGAGCCCAATGCCTTTGCTAAACACACATACACACAAAGATACACACACACATATACATACTACCACCTCACCCCCCACCACCAACCTCCCCCTTTCTAAATGCTGTGCTCTAAGGTAAAGATGTTATTCCCCAGTGTTCCAGAGCTTTGTCATGTTGCTTGAAAAGGGAAAAGGAAAAACTTCTCTAGAAACAGAGAAACAGAAACTTCCCTAGGAAACAGAGCCCAGCACTCATTCCTCCAGCATGCTGCTATACCTCAAGACAAGGAAGTCTGCTTGGATGGGCCGGCTTGCCAGCCCTGGCTAACCTGAGCCTCTTGGGACTCTGTGGCTCTCCACCTGTTGCATCACTGGGTTGTGTACAGTGAGTGACCATTCAATTCTCAAGGCAAGATGAATGTGAAAAAGATTACCCTCCCAAATAGAGCATTGGGTTATTTGGAGGTATTTGTATGACAACTATGTTCTAAATGTTCCTATTTAGCATGGCAATAAGCTGTAGGGGTGGCCAGCACTTTGGATATGTTGGAAACAGCACTGTATAGACACAGAGCTATTCCAGAGTTCTAGCTCTGCGCATCTGCTGTGCGTGTGGTGCTCTTCAGCTTTGCACAGACTAGTTTGTAACACGATATTCTAGTTCATCATGTGTGTGTGGTTTTCCAGCACTTGTGGGCAAGGAAAAGAAAGCAGAGTAGGTAGGAGACAGGATCATATAACACACATGATTTACAAACCATATGTTGAAGACTATTTATTCAATAGTTAATAATATTTATTTAAAGTTCATTCCAGACCTTGTCCCTTCCCTCTTCCCTCCAGAAAAAAAAAATCTCAACTTTTAAATTTGTTACATCTCAGTTTTTAAGTATTTCAAACCTGTTTCCTCTCCAATCTGTCAGAGCTTGAGCCTTCTTGCACCTCAAAGGCCCATCTTAATGGGTTTCATGGAAGTGGAATTATTCCAAGAAGGAACGGAGGGAGGGGTATTGTTTTCTCCTTGTGCAGTTCTGTGGGGGTGACTTGTTCCCCGCATTGTTTGGGGTGGTGATGGCAAGAATGGGATTCATAATTGGTCAGCTCTATATCTGGGGCTATCTTAGCTATAGGCCAATTCATGTGGTTACTGCTGGTGAGTAGTACACAGTGCCTGGGATATGGTGGCCCTTGGAGGCTGCCCAGCTTGAAAACAGGCTCTTTCTCCTGGGAGGATCACAGTCCCTCCTTGGTCTCCAAACTGATTACTATGGGTCTTCTGCCTTGACCCTACCCAGGAGATCCACTCAGTAGCCAAGGAGACCGCAAATCCAGCTCTGGAAATGTGAGAGCCCCCAACATCTTTAGCTTCTTGGTTGCTAATTACTCAGGTAGACCCCAGCTGGTCTCCTATCTTGACTTCCATATCTAGCGATTTCTGAGACTGCCTTGAGGCTTTCTCCTGACCTTTCTTGTTGATCAGTTTCCCTGACAGACTCTCGTGTGCTATTTAAGACACCATTAATGATTTCTGCATTTTCAAAGTTCTGTGTCATTGCTCCATGTAGGAGGAAGAAAAAGGTTCTATGTTCTACGTGTTTCATACATTACCAAGAAGAGGGTAGATTAGGCAATTTTTTCAAATTTACTTCACCACAGATCCCCCCTTCTTGCCAAATAATAACATTTTATGAAATACAAGCATTCACTAAATCTTAATTAGAGAGATGTTGACATTCGTATTGCTTCTCTATTGTCCATCAACATAAAGAAGAAAGTCCCAAACACTTGAGGACTTTCTTGCTCTCCATTCAACATTTACAGAGAGTGCCCCTACCTGAAACGACTCACTCACAATTATTCTCTGGTAGCAGTTAACAGTCATCATGCAAGAGACTAATCATATCTCTGAGACATTATTCCACCTGTACCAAGCCTTCTTAACTCACTTTAGCATTCATTATTGGTCCTGGAAACAATGAAGAACAATGGTATGACTAAAACCTTGGGACACTTACTTGAGGGAGTCAAGAGCATCGCTGACTGCATTGGCAAAATTGATATCCGTTGGGACGTTTTTATATTCTAGGCAGTAAGTAGGTCTGACCCCAAGAATCTCAACCTCACAGCCTGAGAAGGAAAAAGATGGTAAATGGTTACTTTCTTCAATAATAAAGTATATATATATATATATATATATATATATATATAATAAAGGTAGGTTTGCAAACACCATTAGTCAAAATAAAAATCTTTGTTCATTTTCATGAACTAAAAGAACTTACTGCTGATAGGTGGTATATTTAACTGTAATTTTACTTAACTGGAGCAGAGGTTCTCAAATGTTGTTCCTATACAACACTGGCGTCCCATGATAGGGACTAACAAAAATTGGTTAATGTTTGTCTTTTCCAATTTGAAACAAAATTAATTCATACACAGAAAGGTCTCAATTAAAACTTTTTCCCATAGATTTTTCATAACTGCTGAGTCTTCTAGTGTGTTTTTGTCTATTCTAAAATCAAGTATTAGGTAGTATCTGATTAGTCCTGGAATAATAAAATAAAAATTTCAGTAGTCTAACTGGACTAAGAAATGCCACACTAAATTAGCAAGCCTAAAAATCACTGAATTAAAGCAGGGATTCTGAGACATGACTTTGCCTCTCCCAAAATGAAGTAAAAGATTTTTTTTTAAAGGATTTTATTTATTTATTTTAGACAGAGAGAGCACGAGAGTGGGGGTGGGGAGAGGGTGGGGCAGGGAAGAGCAGAGGGTGAGGGACAATCAGACTCCTCCGTGTTGACTGCAGAGCCAGACGTGGGGCTTGGTCCCATGAGCCTGAGATCATGACCTGAGCCGCATTCAAGAGTCAGAGGCCCAACCAACTGAGCTTCCCAGGCGCCCCAAAATGAAGTAAAAGAATTAAGGGCATTGAGATGGTAGGAGCTGCTATGGCCTCAGCTTCACTGCCCCAGGCCCCTGGACAAGTAGAAGTAGTTGCTCTGAGGAAGAGACACCCAAACTTATTACCAAAATATAGGGCAGGAGAGGTATGAGCAAGCCTCAGTTTAAGTTAGTTGACTATTATTGGGCACCTACTATGAACTAGTCACTGTGTTCAGACATAGTGGAAACAAAAATGTGTCAGTCAGGGTCTTCATCCTGGAGCATCCCAGAATCTAGTCTAGTGGGAGGAGAAATTTGGGAAAATATTGTAATATGTGAAGTCTAAAATGAGGTGCACACTTACTGGTGTGGGATCTCAGATGAGGGACATCTACTTGAGGGATTATTTCTTCCTGGAAGCCTTCCTTGAATCCCCAGGTTGGGCTCAGTCTTATAGACTGCATTTGGCCAATGTGTCAGGGCATGGGGGTGGGGAAGGAAGGGACATCCCAAGCAAAGAGAGAAGCAGAAGCAAAAGTTCAGAGATGAGAAACAACAAGGTTAGTGTGGGGAACTATACACAAAATAAAGCTCTGGACAAGGAGTGCCAGGAGACAAGATGGTGAGCATTCTTATAGCCCAGGGAAAATGATTCTCAAGGTAGAGGTAAGTAAAGTGGAACAAGTTGGGAGTAAGCAGGAAAGGAACGTCTCTGTCAGGAAACATAGTAACCCCACTCCTGGGTATATCTGCTAGTCCGTTACAGCTCATTTATAAGAAGGTGGGGCAGCCTCCAAGAATTCCTTACTCCAGCATACCATAGCAAATCTGAGTGCTCCATGGAAGAGTTCATCTCTCTCTGCCTGGTATCTTGGGAGAGCAAGGGCTATCTAGGACAATTAAGATAGGCCTAGAAGGCAGGCAGCTCCCCTTCCAAGGCCTGTTTGTTGAGTAAGATGATTAGGCTAGATGACCCAAGAGTAAATCCTGCCCATGAGTTCTTGAAGAAAATTCATTATGGTAAGAAATGCCAGTGGGATCTTGACTGGTTATAGCACTTTACATATCTGTGTTTCATCTGTTGAAGGTTTTTTGTGAATGTTTATTGTTCTTGCAAAGCTGTTTATTCAACAATGTATGAAGGCCATTCTTTGTATCTACTCTGTGCTCAGTGTCAGCATTCAGAAGCAAATAAGACACCACCTATCCTTTAAAACTTTAGCAGCCTTATATAGTGTGCTCAGGTATCTTCTTCTGGCATATCTGATACATGGGTATTATGAGTTTGCAAGTAATGGAATTTTGATCATGGTTTTAGCAGATAAAAGAAACTGCACACTTTTTTATGTTTGCACATTAATATCAATCAGTATTTTTTATACTAAATAAGAATTATGTTTGTTAATATTATCAGTCATATATTCTCTTAATCCTCTTATTGGATTAAAATGAATCTGGACTTAACACTGGCATAGCAACATAGATCACCTGAGAAATTTACCCTTTCCTCAAGTTAAAGGAGGATACAAACAACTTTTTATCGATTAGATACATGTAGAATTCTATAGTAAAGATAGAGATAACATGTGGCAAAGTAGATCCATTTTTTTATTTTTATTTTTTATTCTTAAAAATTACAATGAATTGGGGGGCGGAGCAAGATGGCGGAGGAGTAGGAGACCTGGATTTCGTCTCCTCTCAGGAATTCAGCTGGATAGGGATCAAACCATTCTGAACACCTACAAAC